ATTGGGTCATTTTTGTAATTTTTTCCAAACTTTTGGATCAGCTTTTATAAGGGAAAAGAGATGCAGAAACGCAGAAAAAAAAAAGGAAAGAACAAAACGCAGAGAGAGAGAGAGAGAGGAAGAAGAAAGGAGAAAGAGAGGGAGTTAGGCTCGGATCTAGGAGTTTTTGCGACCGTTGCGAGCTCGGCTACACGATAGGTAAACTCCCTACTTCAATCCTCTTCTCTTTCTCTTGATTTTCTTCAATTTTTGGAAGAGGAAATTTTTGGATTTTGATCCCAAAGGCTTTATTCTTGTAAGCTTTTGTTTCTTTGGATCCTAGGGAGTATGTTTTGAGTTTCTATATAGTGATCTAATATTTTGAGTGGATAATTGGATGAAAAGAGGTGTTTTGGGCACAAAATAAACCTTGAGAAATTGGGTTTTTGCTCCTCAATGGTTTAAGCCTATTGATTTAGTTATAATTTTGCTATTTGAGCCCAATAAGATTTAAATTAAGGTTTGGTTTTCATTATAAGGGCTAATGGTGAAAGTTGGTGACACTAAGTAAAGGTTTTTAATTGATTAAAAAATTATATAAATTGAAAATTAGCCTAGTGATGGCTAATAAATGGTTTTGGTGGTTAAGTGATACTATGTGAATGGTTGGTTTAATATATGGACCATTAGGGTGGATTATGACTCATTGACCTAAGTTGTATGGTATGAGTTATAGTCTTCATTAATGCTATTTGTCATGATAAGTGATGTGGATCACTTATATGTTGTAGAAAATTGTTGGTGGAACTTATTGAGAAGTAAGGAACAAGCTGAGCCCTATTTTGTACAAGGGGAACCCTTTTGGTATCAAAGAGTTGAGGTAACAGGAGAATTTATATTTTTTATTACTTTGTTTTAGCTATTTTTGAATAAATATTACTAGTTATCATGCATTACATGTTTTAAAAGATTAAATGTGCTTTATAAGGGGTTATGGGGTACTACTTTGATTATAGTGCAAATATTTTCTAATTGTTTAATAACAATGTTTTTATAGAAATGAGATTTATAAATATTATACTACTTTAGAGTGTTGAATGGTCAATACTCAGGAAAGGTAGACAAGAGTAAAAGGCATGATCTCGGTGGGAGTTCACTAATGAGAAGGTGTGGATTTTTGATATTCTATGGCACACTGTCAGTACTCAGTGTTGTCTTACGTATTGTGGGCTCAGTGCACTAAAGTGGTTAGTGTATTGAGTGTTTGACACCTCTCAGTGGGGAAGGGAATCTAACATATGAAGTGTGAGGTTGAGTGCCTAGGCCAAGGTAGCCCTCACATGGAAAGTAAGTTTGGCTGGCCCTGGGAGGGAGTTAGCTTCAACTGCTTAGGATTCACGTCGAAGGGGCATAGGAGGTTCGGTGGATTAGATCATGCCTTAGATTATGTTTTGTGCCTGTGGAGGTACAAGTAGGTATAAGGTTTACCTGCGAGTTAAAGAGTGCCAGGGGGCATTCTGTTGGTCATGAAAGGCCATACCGGCCTAGGTCATGTATTCATGCATTTTAAATGGCTAAATTATATACTATGTTGAATTTATTATTTGTTTATTTGATTATGGTTTACTTTGTAATAATTAATGTAGATTTTGCTGTTACTAAGACTGTGGTTATCTCATCCCTTTCTTTTCAATATTCTAGGTCCAGGCGAAGGATCCAGTGGTGGACGGGGGAAAGGAGCAAAGCTAGGGTTTGCTTGTGATTTGTAAAGAACTGTAACCCCTTTCTTTTGAGCAAATATATTGTAATGTATTTAAGATTAGGGTGCCAGTAGGATATGATTATGTATGTGTGTGTGAATATGTGTAGATTGTGTGCTTGTGTATGAATTTTTGTCTGTTTGTAGACTTGTGACTAGGAAACTTGGTTATGGTGTATGATTTTGATGGATTTACTTAGTAGACCAAGTTTCTATTATAAGCAGATATTTATTTTGATATATATGTGATTTTATAAGCAAATGCAAAGTGGTTGCATTGTAAATGGTGTGCTATGGGCAAACATACACCTTGGATAGAGAGAGTGGGTGAGTGGGCCCACAAGGAGCTCTGAGCCAAGTGAAAATGTTTAGCATATGTATTTATATAAATATATGGTATTTGGATTGATTTGTGACCACTCTTGTATGATTTGTGCATTTTAGGGGTTTAGGGTCCATTTTGGGAAATGGCACCTGGGTGGTCAAATTTTGATGTATGGGGGTTTTCCATCATTTGAATGTTCTATCAGGTGTTTTTAGTCTTATTTGACGTGTCCAAAGTATTCCCACAGGTTTGTAACCATTAGGATAAGATTTGGACAATTTTGAAAATGGTTTTTACTAAAAAGCTGCACTTTTGCATCCGGGTGTCCAAATCTTAATCCGACCGTTGGATTTCTCTAAAATTTGAGTCACAAGTAAAACCTTTTATAAGCTTCGTGTGGGCTTTGGAATCACGTCGATCGGATATCGGACGGAGAAACGACACACTCCGGAATTTGATCTGGAGGTGCTGTCATGACAGCATTAAATTGCTGTCATGACAGCTGCAGTGTTGATTTTATAACTTACACAAAATTCAATCTGTCTGTTGGATCTTTTCAAAATTTAGTATGCTAATAGTATTATTTAAAATTGATATGTGGGATTTGGAATCACTCCAATCGGAGGTCAGATGATGAAATGGTGCACTCCGGAAGTTGGTCCGGAAGTGCTGTCATGACAGCAAAAATAATCAAATTTTTAACATGTCTAATTTTAAATCCGACCGTTGGATCTTTTTGAAATTTGGTATATTTATAGTACCCTTTGAATGTGACGTGTGAGCTTTAAAATCACTTCGATTGGAGGTTGAATGATGAAACGGTGCCTTCCAAAAGTTGGCCCAGGAGGGCTGTCATGACAGCAATTTAATGCTGTCATGACAGCATCTTTTTCTTTCACTTTCGTCTAGCTTGCTTCCGCGTGCTATGGGTAGAACCTATAATTTTTTTTAAAGGCTTTAAATGTTTACTTTGCAATTGTGTATTTGTTTAGTGATTTAAGTGGTTTGTTTTTTAAGTTGGTTTTAGGATTAATTCCTTAACCACACTTAGTTTATTTGAATTGTGTGATTTTTGGATAACACTCGGGGCAAGTGTTATAAAAATACACCGGACAGAGATATATTGCATTCATCAACAAACAATAACTAATCAATGATACCAATTAATTTACAGTCCAAGATCAACTGTTTATTAAAAAAGGCTGCAAGTTATGAAGTAAAATGGAACCCTCCTGAAATAGGATGTGCTAGACTTAACATTAATAGATCAATTAACATAAATGGAGTTGTGACTTGTGGAGGCTTGATTTGTGATGCTTATGGACATTAAATTGAGGGATTTTTTAAATATTTTGATTATCATTCAAGTGTGGCTAGTGAACTACTAGGCATTTTGAAAGAAATCAAGCTTTGTTGAAATACAATACTAACCAAAGTTAATATCTATTTAAACTCTTTAGAAGCTTTATCCTTATTCAATACAACTTTTTCAAGAATTATTTTTATTCTAATTATATTGAGAAGATTAGAGATTTCACTATAAAAGATTGAATAATTACTTTTGACCATATGATAAGGGAAGCAAATAGATGTGCTTATCTACTTGCTCACCAAGCATTTAATGATAATCTTGAATTAATAATCTTTCATGAACCACTTTCTATGTATATAAATATTATTTATTTTGATATGATTGAATACTTTTTTGTTGTATGGATTTTCTGTGGCCATATACTAAAAAAAAAAAGAATTACATTATATTTGGAATTCCTAGCATATGTGTATTTCCTAATCCGTCAGGCACTTGCAGTTGTGCTAGCCGGTGACAACCACAAAAATCATTGTCATGGAAATTGACACTGAAGCATCTAGTTAGTATACTTAGTGACATTGATACCTAATACTTTTTCTATTTAAAAATATAAGGTATTTTTAATCAAATCTCATTTCCTAATAAAAGTAGTTATTTACTTTTAACTAATTCTATTCTTTCATATTTTTCCTTATTAAACACCCTACAATAAATATAAAGTTATTATCAATAGGTGTATTTTTTTTAAAAAGTAATGATTACACCTCAAAAGATTAAAAATACCTTACATTTTTGAACATCTAACTCTTCAAAAAATACTTTATATTTTTTAACGAAGAGAGTATTTTTAATTATTAGCATCATATTATGGCCTCTCTCTCTATATATTTAGAAATAAAAAGACTGATGTTGCTTGCGTGAGAAATTATAAGATTTGGAAGCTTGGAAAAAAAAAAAAAACATATGCCGTTGCCAAAACATGATAACATTATAGAAATTAAGTATATTTAATATTGTTAATATCAAATATCTCAATTTATAAAATATTTTTAGATAAAATTACACAGTTAATTAAATACATTTTATTATCTTAATTTTTTTAAAGTAAAACTATAAACATTTAAAAATAATTTTTTTATTTAATCTCTATTTATGTAAGAATATTAATAGAGAATATATAAAGGAGATACTTCCTTTAATCCTATTTATAGGATAGAAAAAAAATATTTTTTTAATTTTATTTATAAATCACGTTATTAAATTTTCATCATAATTTTTTTACTCTTTATTGAATGTCGGAGGGAAAAAATATATTATTAAAGTGTGTATATTTAATATGGTAAGTTAAGAATTTGTTAAATTTTAAAATAGAGTTAATGAGTTTTAATATTTTTTTAATATTGATAAGATATATTGAAAATAATTTATAAATAAGATTAGATGAGTAATATTAAAAAATATTAACAAAATATTATTTTTATTGAAATTTTTTATATTTTTAAGACAAAATCTTTTAAATGTATTTTATAAATTGTTATAAATTGAAACAGAGCGGTATTTGAAAGAAGGATTAGTTACCCTAAAATACTTTTGTGGGCGGTTACACAACACTCGAAATAAAAACCTTCCAACAAGGGGATGCGAGAAGCCAGTCAATGTTGGCTCCTCGGTAAAACAACAAAAGAGGGAAATTGCACCTGACAACCTCTGGTAATCAGTAAATTCGTATCCTCTCATCTGTTCGATTATTTGCTCATCTACTCCCTTTTCCCCTCTCCGTCTTTTTGAATTTGATCACCTACCCTTCAACCATTGTTTCTCTCTTTGGGTAGAACAAGGCAAATTTAAACAATTTAGTTTTCGAATTATTGTTTAAATTCGTGGTATTCTTGGTTTTCCTTCGTGACCTTCTCCAGGCTAAGGTCCTTCGTGTTCGATCTACCTCTCCCATTGTTGTATTGGCCCGGTTCTGGGTATCAGCACTGCCCTCCCCCCTTCTTTTAGTTTTGTTTGTTGAGTTGTTTCAGAGGAGCTTGGTTGACTGAAATTTGCTGCTTCGAAAGATAATGAATTGGGTTCAGCGCAAGATCTACCTCTACAATGTCACTTTTGGGCTTTATATGCTGGATTGGTGGGAGCGTTATCTTTTCAGTATCCTTTTCCACCCCTCATTTTTCTTTGCGTTTTTACTACTTTATTTGCTTCTGAGATTCCCCCAAGACACAAAAGTAGAGCTTCTATGTTAGCCTGTGGATTGAAAGTTTTAACTTCCATAAATGGTATTTCAACTGTATTTGGAAAGTGGGTTTGTCATGCTCTGTAATCTTAAACTAGTGGACTGGACCTATTTTGTGGCAAAGAAAGCTGAAAAGGTTGAAAACACACACACACACACACACAAATTGAGGCATTTCTTGATTTTGTGACAATCACCTCTGTTGCAGTATTGCATTTGTTAGTTCCTAATTTTGCCAGATACTTTGATGATTGTATTAATGTGGTTCGTGCTCTACAATGGGTCACGATATGTTACAGAATTCTTCAAGAGGTAGTGTGCACTTTGCTTCTGCCTTCTGCATCTTTTTAGCTGGGTGCCTGCAGAGTGCAGAGCTTCTTTAATTTCTAAACATTCATGTCATTTACTTGACTGCATCACTGTTTGATATATGTTTAATAAGCCCATGATGATTTTTATGTATGAATTATGCTTTTAAAACATTAATAAGTTCTTGTCTGATTTCATATTTTTGTTAGAATGTTGAGAATTTCTTGGGTGTGTATTCCTTACATCTGCTTTATGTTTGCATCATTACAGGATAAAAGCATAACAAGTTATTTGTAATCTGTTTTAACCTATTTGAATGACACCATTTTGTTTCTCCTCCTTTTCCTTTTATATTTAATAGTTAGGGTACTCATACAAATTTACCAGCTGCGTGAATTCCAGGAATTCATAAATCATGAGTAGAAGCATATTGAAATTCATGGAATTCACTGTTATTAGCGGTGCCTTTCTTCTCCAATTTATACAAGCGAATTTATTATCATCATTTGTATTGACTAATTGTTTGGCTTTATGTCTGAATCTCTTTTGAATCATTCCTAAACCATGTAAGTCAACCTGAGTTCACATTTAGTAGTTATTCTCTATATTTTCATCATTTAAAACTACGACTAAATCATTTCTAGGTCTGTCCAGTTCTGGTTCTTATACCGAGAAGATACTTGATACTCAAGTATCATAGTTTACATTCTGTCATGTAAATTAATCTACTTTCATGTGCATAACTGTGACTAAGGTGTTTGCCCTTTCAGTGTTGAGGGTGGATTGATGGATAAATTACTTTATATTCATCACTTTTAGTTTCGCTCTTTAACTTTGCAACTAGGAACTGAGAGGTCATTGCTTTTTCCCTCTTTCCTGTTATAATTCTTAAGTTGGATCTTGCTGATTGAGATATTTATTTAAAAATCCTTATCATTGATGTATAACAAATGCGCAATGAGATCACAACATTTAGTGCTTGAGTGATTAGGAGTTTCTAAACTAATTGATGTCCAGTGCAGCTTTGATCATCACCAATCTTTGTTTTGAAATCTAAAACTCAATCTATGAATCTCTGCAATTCGAGAGAGTTGCATGTTTACTGGATCCCAATGTCCTCTGTTCCCATTGATATCACACAAATAAGTGATCAATGTTCTATCCTTGTAAGCTGAGCGGGTGAGAAAAATTCTATATGGGCATAGAAATTGAATTCAATATCGATTTTGTTTCAGTTGAAATTAGATGAAAAGGTGAATGGCCAGTTAGTTTGATAATGACTACCAAGGTGCTTATTACTTTACTTTGTAAATGAACTGAGAAATGTCTTGAGATTTTGCTTCAAGTTGGAAAGGAATATCTTCATCTGTTGAACTGCTTACAATCTGGTGTCTTCATTTGTCTGTTTGTTCATAATGTTATTAAACGTTGTGTCTTGACAATACTTCTAGGAACCATGCCTTGTTTTTTGAACTCCCCATTGAGATTTGATAGGGTTGGATATCTGTTCACTTCAATATATGAATTTGTGTATTTCTTTTTTAAGTATTTCAGGCATGTATGGTGAGAACTGAGAGCCAAAATCATTCTCATGGAAATTGCCAATAAGGTGACTTGGAGATCTGAGTGTTGCAGCCTGCATAACTGTAATATATATTATTCGGGAATAATTTGTTTGTAGCAAAAAAAAAAAAAAAAGAATGGGACTGCATGAATTTCCTAGGCCTGCAGAAAAGACTGCATCTCCCCCATGTTGTCTTTGATGAATTTCTTAATCACCTGTCTCCCCTTATGTAGTGTGGCCATTTATGGGGATGTTAAGTGCCATTCACATGACTTGGTTAATTAATCTTTTATAATTTTTTGAGACGATTCTTTTTATTTTGGGTGAAAATGAATTTCATTCAAAAGAATATACTGCACAAGACGGGGATTTGGCGAAACAAAAGAGAGCCCAATCAACCACCGAGGTTTTAGATCAATAGCTAGGGTTGATCTCTCTTAATAAGAGCTTTTGAATTTGAGCTCTAGATATGTAATGGTGATTAGATTTTTGGCGGAAGGTATACCTTTTAAAAAGGTATTTGTATTCTATCAACCAGATTAGTTTAGATCATCTAGGATACCCAAGTGAGAGTTAAAAAAAAGAAAAAACAGAGAGAGTGAGAGAAAGAGAAGCAGTACATGGGCCTTGTTCAAGAAATGATTCCAGATGATTTTGCCGTGTGATGGGATGAGCAGGAACTAGGACTCCAATCTCCATTGCAAAAAGATTCCTGGATTCTTGATCCCATAGCTTCCAGCCTGTCACAGGACACTTACCTCCTGTGCATGGGCTACACGTGGCATCACCCGTCATTCCTCGTTTCAGGCTGTGTTTGGCGTTCAGTATTTTGATTGCCTGACTGGCAACTGGCTGTGTCCTTTTTGTGCGTAGTTGTATTTTAAACTTAATTCTGTGTTTGACCATAATAATCCAGAATAACTTTTTTCACTTTTTTCAGCGTGCCAAAAATTTTATTTTTTTTAGAAGTTTTGTCTTTTAATATTTTCTCTCGTTTTCTCTTTGCCCAAACCAAAAATTAGTTCAGGCTCAAATCTGGAAGTTTATACAAGACATTTTAGTTTCACCACCTCTAATTTATAGTCACCCCAAAACAACAAACTTATTAAAAAAAAGAAAAAACACCAATAGCTTCGCTTAAAATATAGAAAAAAAAACCTCTACAGCATACCAACATGGATTTTTCTATTCATCATTATCTTTATTACCATTACCAAATAAATTGACCCTGTCGAAAGGTAAGAGATGCATCTACCCTTAAAGAATGATTAAATCCTAGGAATGATTGCTATGATATATCATATACATTTTTTAAAATGAAAAAAAGACTTAATAAAAACGATTATAATTATCGTGTGCGAAATCTTGAGTTCCAATTTTATGTAAAAGTCTTATACTTGATTAGACATGAATATGCTTGAATTATAAAACAATTTGCAGCATGCATGGTTAGAAGATACTCCTTTTATTAAAAAATATAAGATATTTTTAATTAAATTACACTCTTAATAAAATAGTTACCTATTTTTCAATTAACTCTATCTTTTCATATTTACTTTCATTAAACCCCTACGATAAATATAAAATTATTATTAATAGAAATTTTTTTAAAAAAAGACAATAATTACCCTTCAAAATTTAAAAATGTCTTATATTTTTAAATATTTAATTTTTTAAAAAATGTCTTATATTTTTAAATTGAAGGTGTAGAGAATAAACTATAAAGGCTAATTTTTATTTTTTTAAAGATATTTATATAATTTTAAAAAATAAAAAATATATTTATATTTACACTATATTTTATGTTCAAAGTTTTGTCAAAAAAAAACCTTTTGACATATATATAAATTTTTTATATTAAATTTAATTTAAGTTCAAAAAAAAAATGTTTTTAAATCAATGTTCAATGGATCATGTTTTGACTGGACTGTTGAGTTGACACGCGTTGAGGTCCTATTAGCCAGAACACGTGCTGCCCGCCTGCCCCCGTTTGTCAGCTACTTATGGCATTAATGTAATTCAATTTCAAAAAGAAGGTCAATTATAAGAAGTCAACGCCTTAAATTTTCCTTTTCAACTTCCTCCAATTTCTTCTCCCTGTGCTTCCTGGTTTTCTCGTTTTTTCCGAAGCATTTCCTGCTTGAAAGAGAGTAAAAGAGACAAAGCTTCAACTTTCTTTGCTCGCGACAATGGAAGACAAGCATGCATCTCTCGAATCAAGCCCTAATGAAGCAAACGGTGTCCATTCTGCGAGTCATAGCGTCAACAACAACAGCGACCATGGATGGCAGAAGGTCACCTACGCAAAGCGACACAAGAAGACCAACGCCAACAACAACAATAACTCTCATCCCCTGGCGAATTCCAACGGTACCTTGGCCGGTGGTGCCGACAACGTTTTCCGTTCAATCGAAAAGCAATCGGAGGACCGCCGCCGGCGAATTCTAGAAGCACAGAGAGCGGCCAATGCTGGCTTTGCTGATGTTCCGGTCAGATCCAAACAACGGGCTGATTACGATGACGAGGAGGATGATGATGACGATAATGATGGTGCGGGGGCTTCGGCGGAGAATGGGAAAGGGGAAGATGGGAAGAAGGTAAAGCCAAAAAAGGTGAAGAAGCCGAAGGTGACTGTGGCAGAAGCGGCTGCGAAGATCGACGCTTCTGATCTGGCGGTTTTTCTGGCTGATATATCGGTGGGCATCTTAATTGGTTACTGGGATTTGAATTACGCGTGATTATGGTTTTGTTTGGGTTTGATCTGTTGGTTTAGAGAGGAAATGCATGTTGTCTGATTTTATGTTTGTTTTTATCAATAGACATCCTACGACAACCAGCAGGACATACAGATGATGCGATTTGCAGATTATTTTGGACGTGCATTTTCTTCGGTGAGCTCCTCTCAATTTCCTTGGATGAAGTTGTTCAGGGAGTCGACCGTGGCTAAGATAGTTGATGTGAGTTACGCATTCTTCTTTTTCCTCGTTATATGCATATTCATTGTAATAACTGTGATACTGAATCCTATGGCCCCAAAAAAAAAAAAAAAAACTATGATGCAGAATTGAGAATCCGGGAAGTTTCAATATATAAATCTAATCTAATGTACTGAAAAATTGCGTCAGAAGGCCCTAAACAAAACCTTGATGGCACACATTTCATGCATGCGATTTCATATTTAATTCTTCATCTATAATGAGAAGCATGAGCCATCGGCAGGATTTCAAAAAAACTGTTTCTGCTCATATTTAGACCATTAGGCTCAACTTTTCTTGGTGTTATGGCAAGAGATGGTATTCCAAGAATATCTGATCATTGGCATTCAGCATTTAGGCCCTCTGTTATACGTGTTATTGGAATTTGGTTTCCGTTATATACTTATGTTATCTGATTTTTCTCCTCGCAAGTTAATCAGTAAATGCATATTTTGCCAGATTCCTCTCTCTCATATATCTGATGCGGTATATAAGACATCAGTTGACTGGATCAACCAGCGTTCTTCTGAGGCACTAAGCTCCTTTGTGCTGTGGTCTGTAGATAGCATTCTTGCCGATATAGCTAGCCAGCACACTGTAGCCAAGGGCTCAAAAAAGGGTTCGCAACAAGCCACCTCAAAATCTCAGGTAAATTGATACTGACTTGTTCATTTTAATATGCATCCTAATATGCATCCTAATATGGAGAGAAGATTAACAAAAGATGTAACAGACGACAGCATATGTACAAATCAACTATCAAGAAACAAAGAACAAGTTTCTTTATTGCAAAGATGTAATAGCCAGTGTTACAGTTTAAATGTAAAAATTCAACAAAGCTCGAGTATGGGACTGGGTTGAAGGAATTGTTTTAGCGTTAATGTGAAGGTGCGAGTGGCTAGTCGTGGTTTACAGTGTGGGAATTGATGAGGGACTATAAAGAATTACTGATTTCTTCTGAGAAAAGCATTTTAGACTGCATTTTTCTTCATTACTGACTGAGATAGGATAAAGTAATGAAAGAAAAGTAGGGTTATGACTGTGAGATATTGCCTGTTTCATTAACCGGTAAACTTGTGATTTTAATCAAGTTTTTGGGTTTAGCAAAAAGTAAGTTTACATGTGCTAGTCGAGAGGTTTTCCTGATTTAAACTTTGATAATCACATGGTTTTATGAACAACCATGATTGGAGCACCTTGTTCTGGGGTTTACCTTAGGGATGTCAACACCTTGGTTCATTGGGCTGGCAAAAAATGAAACTTGTATTTTCTTCTAATTTCTAAATTGATCATAATAATCTCTGCACCTACTAGTGAAAACCAATAAAAGTAGTAAGTTGAATTTCATTTTGACAATTGCTTGTCCTTGCCAGTTTCCATGCCATTTCCTTAGACCTTGTTGGTTCTGTGACCTTTTGCTTCATTGATGATGGGTTCCTTCTCTTAACTAAGTTTCATCCAATGTTTGTCTGATCAGGCGTAGAATTATAAATGTAAATATGGATCCCCCTACCCTTTCCCCAAAAAAATTTCCTCTGGTCAATTGACAATGAATTGACATGACTTGCAGGTTGCCATATTTGTTGTTTTAGCAATGGTATTGCGACGGAAGCCTGATGTCCTAGTTACTCTATTACCCACGTTGAGGGAAAATGTGAAGTATCAAGGGCAAGATAAACTTCACGTGATTGTTTGGATGATAGCTCAGGTATATGGTAGATGTCAAAATGGGATTTTATGAAACGCGTGGGATAAACAAGTTGAATAATCTATTAATCTCTTTAATAGAACTGTTGCTTCTTTATTTTCCTTGCCATTGCCAATGCTGATTAATGCCTGCATTTCGTATAGGCTTCAGTGGGGGATCTCTCAGTAGGATTATATGCTTGGGCTCGCAATCTTCTACCCATAGTGACAAGCAAAAGTGGTAACCCACTATCCAGAGATTTGATTTTGCAGCTGGTGGAAAAGTATGTAAACATAGATGATTTCCTTTCAATCGTTTGTTACAATAGTTTTTATCATCACCGCTGTAATTTTTTTTTAATTTGATGGCAGGTTTTTGTCTGCCCCAAAAGCTCGGTCTATTTTAGTAAATGGTGCTGTAAGGAAAGGGGAACGATTACTTCCACCTTCTTCATTTGAAATATTGATGCAAGTTACTTTCCCTGTATCTTCAGCTAGAGTAAAGGTAGTTTTTCAGTTGGTTTTGGTAATGTCAGCTGTTATATGCATCATTGCTCAAAACCACTGAGACTCAATGTCAACGTGATGGGTTTTCTGTAGGCTACTGAGAGATTTGAGGCTGTATATTCCACCCTGAAAGAGGTGGCTCTCGCTGGTTCCCATGGAAGTAAAGCAATGAAGCAAGCTTCCCAACAGATATTCAATTCTGCAATCAGAGCAGCAGGGGAAAGTATGCAAACTTGATATTTTCAGTTTTATCATGTTTTCTTTTGCTTTTTTTTTTTTTTTACCAACCCTTTCTTTTGTTGTTTTGATGAAATATTAGAGAAATAAATATGTTAGAGGTGTTCTTTAACATAACTATTTTTCAGGAAATCCTGAGTTATCAAAGGAGGCAACTAATATTGTCATATGGTGTTTGAGCCAAAGCTCCGAATGCTACAAGCAATGGGTGAGCCGTTCTGTGCATAATTATACTTTTCAAGTTCTTGGAAGGTTTTTGCATGCTTGCTCTGTGTTTTTCTCCTTCCTTTTTAATTGTTAATTTAGTTTTTATTAATTGAGTCTTACTCTTAATTGGTTATGAACAGGAAAAAGCTTATGAGGAGAACCTAGAAGCGAGCATTTCTGTTCTGAAAAAGTTGTCTGACAATTGGAAGGAAGAATCTGCAAAATTGTCTCCTCATGAGCCACTAAGGGAGACTCTAAAGAATTTTAAGCAAAAGGTAGGATCTCATTCCTCTATCAGCATGGTATACTTCCAATTTGATGCATCTGGAATCAGTTAACAATCACTCTGATGGACAGACTCTTCCGTTTTCATTTTTTTGATTATTGGTATACATAAAAGTAGCAGCATGACTGAAATTCATATATAAAACTTTTTGGCTGCAGAATGAGAAAGCTTTGGCTTCTGGAACTGATGCTACTCAACAAGCACTCTTCAAGGATGCAGATAAATATTGTAAGGTAATCTTAGGAAGAGTATCTCAAAGCCATGGGTGCAAGACATGTATGACCTTCACAGTCATTGCTTTGGCTGTGGGTGTCTTTTTTCTGTCCCCAAACATGGAGTCTTGGGATTTGAAGAAACTGTCAGAAGCTTTCAACTCTCATAGCGGTTTTTGATAAATATTCTGCAATACAGCAGCTGGTTGCATCAGACGGGGATTTTCTTCGCAGCATATGCCTTTCTCGGGTAAAGTAGTGCAATTGCTTCAAAGAGAAAGTGCAGATGGGATGTTGTACACTTAGATTGAGAATATGAGGCCAGCACTACTTGTGGTGCTTACTTTCCTCTCGAACATAGGAGGAAGATCGAATTTCCAACTTGTTAGTTTTTAAATTAAATTTCTGCTTAGCAGGGTTTACTTTCTTTCATAGTTTGACCATTTAGTGTTTCATTTAATTTTCTTGTACCTTTCTTCTGGATCTCCTAAGTTAAGCTTTTAGCATTGCAGAGCTGGCACAATACACAAGTAAATTTTGTATTCTGAAGTGAGTTTTAGTTGAATCAGAAGAATTTTTACGACCCAATACAGAAGAATGTTCTGCTAATTTTACACTGTTATTTCTTACCAGCTTACTCTGTTATCTCGTTTGCCCTACTCTCTTCCTGTTATCCATTTTTTCCTTACTATTGTAAGGTTGACGTTACTTTATAAGCGTGACTTTTCTGTTATTGTATTCAACAGTTTTCCTCTTTTATCTTTTGTTTAAAAATTGCCAATGACAGTGTTCTTTGAAATGTTGCATCTATTTGTGATAGTTGCTCCATAAAGAGGTGGTGGGTCAAAATTGTAGTGTCCCTGGTATTGTTTCCGTGTATTTTGCTTTGAGATTAATGCAACGTCTATCTATTCAGTAAAAAATAAAAAATTAAAATATACATTTAATTCTTTAACTTTATAAAATATTTTATTTTATTCTTAACTTTATAAAATATTATTTTAATTTTTTAATTCTAATACTATTAGTTTTATTCTAACAAATTTTTACATTAAATATTCAAATATTGACAACATTCTCAAAAGATGACAGATTAATTTTAATTTTTTTAAAATAATAATAATTAATATAAAAAATAATTATTTAAAAATAATAATGTTAAATGTTAGGGTTAAAGAATTAAAAATATTTTATAAAATTAAAAAATTAAATTTAAATTTAATATAAAGTTAAAAAAGTAAAAATATATTTTAGTCAAAATAAAAAGATCCGGTTTTTTTTTTTTTTTTGGGGAGGGTTTTTTTTTTTTGGGGGGGGGGGGTGTTGGTTTCACAATAATGATTGCTTCATTGCTTGCCAGCTTGCTAAATATCGAGTCTGGTGGTCAAAAAAATGTCTTCCAGGGTACAAATTATATTCTCGAGTTTTTGTTCACGAAAGTTGATAAAGATAGATTATCTGAATTTGAAGATCTAATTCCATCATAATTTCAAACTCAATTATGTGATTTTTATTAAAACAATAATTAAAATGTGAAAATATACGTAGCAATAATTTGTTTCTTTTTGGCCAGACACTAGTAGCAACGTTCATTGCTTGGTCCGACCTTGAAAAGGAAACAAAGTCAGAATTGCGTTAGAAAGATATAACTTGTTTGGCTTCTGTTTCATTTTTTATTTTTCAAAATTATCTTGTAATATAATTTTTAATTTTTTTTAAAACAAAACAAAATGAAAATTTGTTCAATTTTATTAATTTAAAAACATTCTTTAAATTTAAAAATAGGTTGCTCTGCTAGCAATGGGTGCAAAAGAAAAGGTTGGAAAAGATTAGTAAAAACTTATTTTTCTCAAATTATTTTATATTTTGAAACAATAATATATCTCCAACTTTGTTTTATAATTTGGGTTAGAGAAAGTATGTTTCAAAAACAAGAAAAATGAAATGAAGACATCTTTAAAGATGTTTATAATTTTTGTTTTTAAAAATAAAAAATGAAAACAGTTTTAAAAACAATTAAATCTAAAACATTTATCCAAATGACTTTTTAAATTTTTTTTGCTTTTAAATACAGGAAACAGTATTTAAAAACAAAACTAAATGCTCACTAGTGGTCTCTTGTAAATACAACTCGCCGTGGAGGAAAACAATGATAAATCTACACTACACCATGAATTCTCCAAAAGTTTGGAAACTGAACATTGCATCAAAGTGCAGAAGCGTCTATTTGTCAAACTCCCATATAACACCTCCATCTTCTGCAATGCCAAAACCCAAAATCTCAGCAATAATCCTTAATTTCAATTTCAAACATACAAGAACAAAATCACAAGCCTTCCAACAACTAAAACTTCGCCATTTATATTGTATGAACTCCAAGAGGTCAAGTGACGATATATGAGATTTTAAATGGAAATTTAGGCGTGCAAGAATCCATTTCTGGAGGCTTGATCTTAAAATAACTCAGCAACACTAAGTTTTGTATCCTATTTAGTGCTTGAGCCTCTATTTTCTTGGGACTACGGTAAAATAGAACAGTTGATCCTGATACAGCCTTTACAAATGAAAATAAACTAGCTACAGAGTTAATATATAGTAAAATTACATCCTAACTTGCATATTGGGGTCATTCCGTTTAGAAGCTGGAGATAACACGCACCCCTTTGGGTAGAATAATTTGAAGCAAATAAATAGTATTGTTCTAAGTCTACTACTGATGCATTATGACATGAATTGCAGAACGAATGCTCATTAGAATTTCTACCTGTCTAGAACTTGAATGCTAGAGATTAATGAACTACAAAGCTATTTTTTTCACTATCATATTTCCTTTAATCCAAATAAGGAAATTCGAACATCAGATTATTATGACAAGTTATGTAGCAAATGATATTCTTCCTAGGCAAGAGGTAACCTGTCAAGGAAAAAAGAAATCAATTTAATTGTACCTAGCTTTGATAGAGAAAAGATGAAATATACCTTTAACTTTCTTGTTAATCCAGACCTCCAAAAGCATTCCTGCAGCAATACCACCAGCTATGCATGAACCATAGAAAGCGATAGCTGAAGGTAGAGACCGTCGAGGAAGGAAATAGTAGTCAGGGATTTCCCTAACTTTTTTGGGGAGACGCTTCTTCAAAACTGGCTGAGCACTAGGATTCTGTTGCATTTCACCACCAACGGCTTTCCAATCCACCCCTTTGAAGGGGTCTTTTGTATCTTCAGCTCCCATTACTGCATGCAGATGCAAGCTTCGTTTTAAAGCTTTCAATTAGCAACTCAAAGCAAATATAATTAGTCTGGTATTTACTGGGAACAAATCCACGAATAATCATAACAGTGAAAAAACTAGGAATAAAAAATATATGAAACACCATCTGCTACCATTCAACATAAATTACCGTTACAGTCATCATCACTAAGTTTCATTAAAAATGTAAAGAATTCAGTCCAACTCATTTTGATACAATCCAATGTATAGTGGTTAATTGATTTTACGACACATGGTTTATGTTTATGTTTAGTTGGAACTGTGTATTTGTTAATGACCGTGAACAAACCCAACACAAAATACTGCTCAGCTGCTAAATAAGAACTTGTATGGTCAAATAACCATTTCAAATGTCAATATCAAAAGTTCAGATGTAGAAGTCTTCACAGAAAACGTTAATAACAAAATTTGAGGATCTTTCCTCAGGGAATGCACATCAGAGTGCCAAAAATAATTTTTACCCAGGATTGCTCAAGGGACTGACAAGTAACATATACATAGGCGGACCTAATCTCTGAAATATGCATAGTTGATATAATACCCTTTTAATTTTTGTTCCAGATACTTTGACACAACTCGAGCCAAGTCATTTACAAGATCATACATCACAAATACATTGAGAATTTCGAAAATTGATGATAATATAAAAAGATTAATAAACAGAATGCCAATACACAACAAATCCAACATTGCAAAACAACGATAATCCAAATCATACAATTCGCTAGTAATCAGAATGAAGAGGGAAGGAGTATAATAGCCAATTACACACCATTCAAGCAAAAACTGTCACCAAAAAAAAAAAAAAACTCAACATGTGAATATTCCCAAATTCAAAGGCGTCAATATTCAACGATTACACAACCAGATTCAAAGCCAAATTAAAATGAAAAATTTAAATGAAAGCAAGAACAGCCACGCAGGGAACCGATGACGAGGGAACCAATTCAAATCTAGATTGAACAAATCAAGCTGACCGGATTTTGGGAGTAAAAAAAAGCCCTAGGATTCGTACCTTCTTCACTGCTTGCCCGAGAACAACTACGCTGGGCTGACAACGGTGGACGGCGTCCGGCGGAGTATGGAATGCTCGTTCGTCGACGAAAAGAACTGGATCCGCTGCTCACGAGAAGGTTTTTACCGGGGTTTATAATTAATTTTAGGAAAAATTTGGTACAGGTCGAAAATTAATTAGGGAAAATTAATTTATTCTATGAAATAAAATTTATTTTATTAATATATTCTTAAAATTTATACTTAACTCTTCTATATTAAATAGTATTAAAAAACTCTTTCATATCAAATAAATTTTTACGGGAATTTTTATTAAACTCTTTGATATATTAAATATACTTTTATTTTTTTTTACTTTTTTCATTTTCATTTTTCTAATTTTATCATGCTCAAATTTTCAATCTTTTTAAATAATTAAAAAGAATTTTAATCTTTTTTTTATTGTTGAATTAGAGGAGAGAAATGAAATTGACTTAAAAAAATAAAGTAGATAAAAACATATGTTAGCCCATAACCTTATATTAATACAAAATATAAATGAATATTATATTTAAAGTCTAGATAAAAACATTGTTTATTAATTATTATACTTCTGGTGCATTAAAAAACTAGTTGCCATTGTTATATACTCCCTTTTCATCTTACAAGAAATTTTTTTGATGTAATTTGATAGTCTTATAATTTTTGAAAAAAAAAGTTTTATTAATTATGATTATTTTAATATTAACTTTGATAATTTCACTCTTTAAATAAAATTCCTTCCTCTTTTTCTCTTATTAATGAAAGATACTTTTAAAAGTTTATAAAAAAATTAAGATTGAAAATTGTATTAAGTAAATTTTATTACTATTTGTTATTTTACCCAAAAAAATTATAAATTGAAAAAAAAAAAGGAAATAGTAATTTATATTTTAGTTACAAATAAACAATTCTAATTTTTTTTTACTATATACAGGTGTCCTTTTATTGAAAATAATGTTATTTAAGAAACAAATATTATTATATTATATTTTATTATTATTGTTTTGTTATGTTCATGTGCACCCCAACTTTCTCATTTGAATCACCGAATATTATATTTCAATCCAAATTGCAATTTACATATACAGTTGAAATTTTAGTTATATCTTTCTTAACAACTTGATCTTTCTATGGGGACACACACAGTACACATGACCGTAATTTGAATAACAAATTCAGGTAACAAGAACCCGAAGTTAGGATATTATGACTGTCTGATACGTTTAAAAAGGTAAAATCTTGTCATATCGGATTATTGTGCATGTCTGTTAGAACATCCTCTCAGTTTCATATTTTATCTTCCTTCCAAGTCCTATATATAACACAGCGAATTGCAGAGTAGAAGGCAAAAGGCAAAAAGTAATTGTAAATTACTTCAGAAAATGGGAGGAGGAGCATTTGTTGATCAAACTGAAGTCAGAAATTATGAAGGAAGAATCACAGTTTTTGTGCTAGTCACTTGCCTTGTGGCTGCCATGGGAGGTCTTCTCTTTGGTTATGATCTGGGAATTACTGGAGGAGTGACTTCCATGGAACCTTTTCTGGTCAAATTCTTCCCATCAGTGTATAGCAAAATGAATGGTATCAGCCATGAGAGCACATATTGCAAATTTGACAACGAAATGCTTACCCTGTTCACTTCTTCTCTCTATCTTGCTGCACTGCTAGCTTCTTTCTTTGCTTCCATTACCACAAGAATCCTTGGTCGTAAACCTTCCATGTTCCTTGGTGGATTGTTTTTCCTTGCTGGTGCATTATTGAATGGCTTTGCAACCAACATTGGAATGCTCATCATTGGCCGTCTATTGCTAGGTTTTGGTGTTGGATATTGTAATCAAGTAAGTTACTCTCTCTTATCCTATTTATAAAGCGAGAAAGAATGTTTTTTCATGTCTTATTTATAAGTTATATTATTAATTTTTTATCACAAATTTAGTTAGAGAAAAAAAAGTTATTAAAATATGCATATATTTTATATATAACTACTTGATTGGGTCAAATTCAAACATTGTTGTATTCATTGAGAAAGTTTTTTTAAACATTCTTTTTGTATTTAGTTGAAAACTTATTAAATTCTTTGATAGAGTTACTGAATTTTACTGTTCTTCTTTATTGGGTGAAAGTGATTTATAGGACTAGATGGACCAGCATTAACGCTTTTGAACTTCCAATTTTCAAGCTAGCATTGAAATTAACTTGTTTTTCCTCTCTCTCTCTCTCTTCTTGATAGTCTGTTCCGGTGTATTTATCTGAAATGGCTCCAACAAATATCAGAGGAGCACTCAACATGGGGTTTCAAATGATGATAACAATAGGCATTTTGATAGCAAACCTTATCAATTATCGGACTGCTAAGTACCAAAATGGATGGAGAATTTCTTTGGGTGTGGGAGCAGTGCCTGCATTTTTGCTGTGCATAGGATCTCTTTTTCTGAGTGACACACCAAACTCAATGATTGAAAGAGGGAAGCGTGATGAAGCTAAGGCTATGTTGCAGAAGATTCGAGGAACCCAGAACGTTGATGAAGAGTTCCAAGATCTCATTGATGCAAGTGAAGCGGCCAAGCTTGTGGAACATCCATGGAAGAACATCTTGCAAACAAAATATAGACCTCAACTCATTTTCTGCTCTCTCATTCCCTTCTTCCAACAGCTCACTGGCATCAACGTTATTATGTTTTATGCACCAGTCCTCTTCAAAACTATTGGCTTTGGCAGTGAAGCATCTCTCATGTCTGCAGTTATCACCGGATTAGTTAATGTCGTCGCCACACTGGTTTCCATATTCTCTGTTGATAAGTTTGGGAGGAGGATTCTGTTCCTTGAAGGTGGTGTCCAAATGCTTATTTGCCAGGTATATTAAATATTTGATGGCTTACATGTATTGAACCTCTTTGTTATTATAATTACTGATCAGTGACATGTCTCTGTGAATTGATTTTAGGTTCTGGTGGGAGTGATGATAGCTGTGAAGTTTGGAATCAATGGTGAAGGCTCATTGAGCAAAGGTGATGCAAACTTCATATTGTTCTTGATATGTGCATATGTTGCAGCATTTGCTTGGTCCTGGGGACCATTAGGTTGGTTGGTGCCAAGTGAAATATGCGCTCTTGAGGTCAGATCTGCAGGGCAAGCTATTAATGTTGCTGTGAACATGTTGTTCACTTTTGCTGTTGCCCAAGTGTTCCTCACCATGCTTTGCCACTTGAAGTTTGGCCTCTTCTTCTTCTTCGCCTGTTTCGTTGTCGTAATGACCATTTTCATTGCTCTGCTCCTCCCAGAGACAAAGAATGTCCCTATTGAAGAAATGAGCAATGTGTGGAAGTCACATTGGTTTTGGAGGAAGTTTGTTCCTAATGAAGATCATGATGCTAACCCCTGAATTTGATGAATAAAGAGCAGAGAAAAGTCAGCAAGTTAGAAACTTATGTATGATAATGATCACACACCACTTATTTGTGGTAACATTATATATCTCTTCAAGTGTTGTATGACAGGAATATATATATATATATATATATGTATGTATGTATATATGCTTTTAGTTTTTGACAAGTAATTTGTCAAAACTCAAAATTCTATTTTCTTACTCGTTATTATTTAATAGAAAATTTCAATAGATCAATATCAATATTATTGTCTAGAGCAAACTAGTAAACTTACACAAAATAAAACACTTTCAAAAACTATGAATATCAAGCACAAGAGGTAACTAATGACATCTTGTAGCCGTTACTCTCCTGAATGATCTTTATGACATTGTTGCTTATTAACAAAAACTCAAGCCCTCCCACAAAGATACTAAATCTGTGTAGTTAGTTGTTCATAGATTGAGGACCTGACCTGATCTTCAAAACTAATTGATCTGAAAATTTTCCAATATGACCTTTGTATCTCCATAAGTTCAAGCAATTGCATAGGTATATGGAACAAGCAGTTTCCAAATCTTCACTCCAGCCTCATTGTTGTCAATTTTTTTTTTATTCTATTGTCTCATATCTTGTTGTATATTCCAAAACTCAAATTCGAAATATCAGAATAAACTAATTTGATTCCTTGATCAGTCTAGCCAAGTGTATCTTGGTTGCTAATATAATTTCCTAAACACATACCTCTACTATTACTTTCATATTATAGGCAATCTCTCCGGTTAGTTATGAAATGACAGTTCATTTAATAAGGTTAGTTGCCAAAAAAAAAAAATTCTGAGATAAAGAGAACCAAGGCATAAAGGCTGTAAAATTCTTTCATTGATTTCTTTAACTGTTCAATACATTCAGACCATATTTATAACTTGCTTATTTAGTTATTTTGATGGGTCTCTTCTTATGGGTATGAATTTGGTATTCATACTAACCAGCAGTGACGTTTATGGAACCAATCTTTGTAATGTTCTTCCATTTGTTAAGTTTCGTTTCATTTCATTTTGTTCCTTTTTTTCCTTGAAAATAGAAAATATTTTTAACAGATTAAGACAGTCTAATAATAACTTAAACTGTTAAAAATTTATGCAAAATAATTTATAGCTTCTCACCAAAAGCAGAGAGAACTGAAATCTTTCACAATGCGTTGAAATGTTCGGGTTTTCAAAAAGAAAAAAGAAACCTCAGATAGAAGGGAGATGCCAACTACATAACAAGCTACCCGTTGGCCGGACCATTCCTTCTTTTAAATACATATATGTAGATGTAGGTCCCACTGGAACAAGTAAAATATATCAATTATTTTCAAAAAAATGATATCTAATCCTCGAATTCTATAATCATAGAGGGAAATGTTTATCGTTATCGTTACTATAAAAATGAATGAACCTTCTAAAAAAATTCGTTTCATAATTTTTAATTTATTTACATAAAATAAATTAATTTAATTGTAATTATGAAAGGGTACAAACGTAGAATTTTAAAATAAAAAATATGATGCACAGCGCAGTTGGTACCGCCAAAAGACGAGAAGAAAGTTGGAACTTCGAATTCCTTCTGTCAAGGAAGAGAAATTTACGCTAACGAAACAGCGTACGGTATCATCTCTTCCATCCTCAAGCCTTCTTTGGAGGTTGTTCGTTCGATCGATCAAGTAATTCATTCTTTTCTCTCTCTTCCCGGCAAATCTAACGCAACCCACGAATTGGGATCCTCCCAATTTGTGATCCCTCATCACGCGCACATACGCAGAGGGAGAGAGGACAGCCGAAATCAAGGGTTGAATACCACTTGTACTGTGAGAGAGAGAGAGAGAGATCAAGCGCTGAAAGTGTGGAAATGGGCACGCTTCAGACTTGGAGAAAAGCTTATGGCGCCCTGAAAGACACCACCAAAGTCGGTCTTGCCCATGTCAACAGCGACTACGCGGTACTATATTTGGTCCTTTTCGTATTGCAAATATAGATTGTGTCCCAAGAAAGTTTTCGATGATTCGATATCATATCTTTAATCTTTCTTTGTTTTTGGCTGTGGTTTGATTGATTCCTATTGTTAGGATTTGGATGTCGCCGTAGTCAAAGCTACGAACCACGTTGAGTGTCCCCCCAAAGAGAGACATCTTAGAAGTGAGTGATTTACATTTCTAGATCCAACTTGAGCCTCTGGGATTTTGCTTGTACCAGTGAATAATGATAAATTTGTGTGCTTCTTTCTTTATGTAGAAATTCTGTTCGCCACAACTGCTATTCGACCCCGAGCTGATGTTGCTTACTGCATCATGCGCTTTCCCGCCGATTGGCCAAGACACGAAATTGGACGGTATTAACACGTGTTGTTGGTGGATCTATTATTGTTATTCATCTATATGGCTATATGATAGAATTATGATCTAGTTTGAATATTTAATTTTCTGCTTATATACATGTTCTTGACAAGAATTCTTCCTTTATTAATTTGTGGAGCGTCCATCCCACTGGTCCTGATCCATTAAAACTCATTCTTGTGAAAGAAGAGAATGTGATGCGAAAGACCATCCGGGTGTATATTAGATTTATTTCTTCCATTTTCATCCATTCTTTTTATATATCTATATATCTGTTGAATGCGGCGTGTATATCTATCTATCTGCACATTGGGTATTTTCCTGCTAAATGCAGACAATCAAAATGTTTATCTACCTATAATACATAAATAAGTAGAACCCAGTGTCAGTCCAACCTTGGTGCTGTTTATGTATGTGGGAATGCAATCATTAAATGAATGAGAATATGATGCTTTTTGACTTACAAATGAAGAGTTGGCTATTTGTTTTGCCTTCAGTATTCTATGCTCGCTAACTTAAACTCACTTATCAAGTGCAATTCCAAATAACATTATAACCTTGTTAAATGTTGTCCAAAATTTGTGACTATAATCAAAATCTTGAGTGCAGCATACATAGAGAGCTTCCTTGTGGTGATTGAGATGCTGGATAGACAACTTAATTTGAAGCCTTTTAAATACAGGGTTACCTAGTGGCTGCTAATTTTTGGTTTGTTGTGTCTTTGCTAGGATTCTTAATGTTAACTACCAGGTTAATATCTGTATCTTGTTAGTGTAGTTAATAGCAGTGAAAATTGTTGCTACTCTGGAGGCTAAGGTTTTTTCTTTGTATAGAATGAAACATTACTGAAATGCATATGCAAAATAGATGATGTGATATTATAATGAAAATAGTTTGACAAGGCCCTCCAATTTCTATCAACATTCAATAACCCTCTTTCAAGCAGTCATTGGCTATGGTGTTTGTATCATCATCAATTTTACTGATAGAAGATTAACTTTTGAAGGCTAGGTAGAAATGTTATTACATTCTAAACTTGTTTCCAACTTCTCATGAAAACCTACGATGTTAGTATCATCATCAATGTCCAATGGGCAATCAAGGGTTCCGCTATGATATCATTGGGCTCTTTTATGATAACTTCCCTTAATGTGTCATGATCTTGAAGATATTCTTCTACTCTATCTTTACCTTGGTTACCTTCAACTTGAATTAGGTTATCCATGTTTCTTTCCATTGATTTGTGTACTTAATAAGTTAAGAGAATTTATCTTCTCCTCATGATGAGGGTCTATTTTTGCTAATTTTTTTATTGATGTAGTCCATGCTAGTTTGGTTTGCGGCTGTATGGGTTTGTTTCGAGGCAAAAAGTTCTTGGTTGTAGCAATTAAAGATCCAAAACAAGCAGAAGCATTTCCAAATACCTTTCAACAATGGTGGCTACAGATCATGGTGAAACAAGATAGGAAATTAAGCAAAGGAAGTTAAAAATGGATGTGTGTGGCCCACATGTAGGGAGCATCTTCTGGAAGTGAAGCTCATGAGGGCCATGCATAGGGAGCATTGTCGTTGCTTGATGGCATGTGCGATGGCTTCTAGTGGCATGATTTTGAGGATGAGATGAGTTTGGTGATGTGCTTGTGATGGTGTGGTCACTCACTAGTTTTGAATGCCAAATGGGTGAGTTTTGGTTTGGGTGTAGACAACAATGGTTCTAATTTCTAGCAAGTTTTTGGTGGATTTAAGTTAGTGGTGGGAGTGATTGGAATTGTACAATTGATGTAGAATCAAATAGAAAAATAAGGAAAGGGGTTGGGGCATTGCAGGATGTTTCATGGGCAAAGGAGATATAGAAGAAAGGGCGATGTAGAGAGAAATAGAGGCTGATAGAGAAGGAGGAAAAAAAAAGAAAAAGGATGGGTGATGGCTAATGCGTTAGGAGAACTTATTGATAATCATTCAATAGGCTCCCATAACCCTAATAAAAAGGCCCAAGGGATGACTCCTAATGAGATAAATTAATTTAAAATGAAAAATGAAAAACGGATTATTGAACTTAAAAGAAAACCAATTAGATAATTTCTAGTTCCTAAATATTTGATCTCCAATTTGCAATTTATAAATAATCAATAAAATTTCCTTGAATATTCTCTTTCCATTTTCTAGCATGTAGTCATATTAATAATTGGTTTCAAAATAATTGATTGCTCATTTTTTTTATCTTTTTGATAATTTTTTTTAATGGTTTGGTATGCTTTGACTTTCACTTTTCTTGTTAACAGGTAGCATTGAAAACTTTGATAGTCATCCATAGGTTATTGAGGGAGGGTGATCCTACTTTTAGGGAAGAACTTCTGAATTTCTCACAAAGAGGACGAATTCTCCAACTTTCTTATTTCAAGGATGATTCTAGCCCAATAGGTTTATTTCATGACCTTATAATATGTTATTATTTATTACTTATTTTGAATTTTTTATGGGTATCCTTAGACTGGTGATGTTGATCCAATATTTTCGTATTGAGTTTATTATTTGATTAATGTATGATTTGAATTACTTGCAGCTTGGGATTGCTCTGCTTGGGTTCGTACTTATGCATCATTTTTGGAAGAAAGACTTGAATGTTTTCGGGTTCTGAAGTATGATATTGAAGCTGAGCGTCTACCCAAGCCTGCCCAAGGACAGGAGAAGGTAATTTCATGAAGTAGTTATATTCTTTTCTGATAACAAGTCAAGCCTCAAGTTTGTGACATGATGACATCTATGCTATTGTCTGATAAGAATTGAGGAGATATATGAGAGAACATTTTTCCCCTGATACTTCTGATCTATAATTGTTTCTCCCTGGTGCGCATTATCTTGCTTGTTTTGCAGCTTATCAGACCTGTTTTGGGGTTTTAATATCAGATACTGTTTTCTGTTTATACTTAAAATTGCATTTTGTTTCCTACTACCTGGACTTAAAGTTCTGTCAAATGTTTTGAGCAATAATGGAACCTTGTTCAAAATGATGAAAGTCTCAGTATACTTCGTTGCGTGATGGAAAGGGTAAAAGAGAGGTATTGTGAATAGTAATAGTTATAGCTGCTGCTGCTGAGCAAAATGCGGCAAAAGGAAAGAAAATCCATGGACTAACCCCATCATCTCCACCCTGTAGGAACTACACGTTCACTTCCCCTTTGCATTTTACTAAACATGTCTCAAATATAAAAATCCAAGTGTCATTCTAAATGATGAGTTGATTTCTGTTTATGGGAATGCAGTTTATGCATGCACCTCACTGGGTATACTGAATAATTTCTCCAAGAGAAGATTAGGTCTAATAAACAGCATTCTGTTTCTTTTTCTTTTTTTTTCTTTCTTTTTTAATTGTCTATAGTTCTTATTTGATTTAAGGGTGTTCAAAATGAACCCAGACCAAAAAGACCTAACCAAACCAACCCAAACCGAAAGGAGCCAACCATCAATCAAATCTACTTCTGTTTTTATGACATACAAGCCGATTGGTTTAGTTTTGAGCACTGAAAATTGAACCAAACTTGAACCAAACCTAATTAAAAAAAATAGTATTTATTTATACAATATCTATCTAATCCCAACACCCAACCCAATCTAATAGTGTTTTAATTTTTAGAAATAAACCCAAACCCCCCCTTACCCCAATGTCTCTTTTTTGGATAATTTCAAGCATATGAATGTCTCTTTTTTGTTTAAGTTGCAATTAAATATGTTTTTTTTTTTTTTTGGATAATAGATAGTTGGTATAGTTTAAGTGGATTTTATAACATTGAGAGATGGATCTTATGTTTTGAATATATACATATATATGGATATAAGTATTAATATTAAATAGCATGATATTTGGATGTTCAGACTTGAGGTGTTTGCATGTCTGCTACTTGCTATTAGGTGATGAATTTTCTCCATGAAAATTCAAATAGTGCATCTAATTAATCATGAAGATGGTCACCATCATTATTTTAATTTCGTACCGCTTGAAATCACAAAATTAATTTGCATTACATATATATATATATATATTTCTTGGACAGTGTAGGAAAATTGATGTTATCATGGAGATAACACAAGGCCAATGAAATGAAGAGATGAATAAGGTTCATATAATATGAACATATCTTATCCTTGATTCATTTGAGACCAAGCAAGAAATAAATAAATAAATAAACATTAAAAAAAAAAAGAATGAACATGTAGGTATAAGATTTGTGATTAATCAAGGACATTCCATAAATATGATTGAGATAAAGCATGAGGAAAGCAATGACCCTCCATAAAATAAAAGAGCCGGCGATTCATAGATCATTCCAAAGAAATCCAAGATAATATGAACACAGCATCATTATGAAGATGGAAAAAAAAAATCAAATAAATGTATTGAAGCTTGATCCAAACTTTAACCAAACCGAACCAAATCAAAAATAAAACTGAACCAAACTAATTTCCACAAAAACCGATCAAGCTCTAGTCATTAGTAAACCGATTGGTTTGGTTTGGTCTGATTTTTGCCCAAAACAAAACCAAACTGAGCCCATGAACACCCTTAATTTGATTTACTTATGTTGCTGATTGACATTTTAATGAACTTGGCAGTGGTTGGCGTGGATTTATTGGAATTGCTATTAATAAAGAACTTTTTTTAATTAAAAAATATATAGCTTTGTGTATCTTAACTAGTTTTTTTCTGATAAGTTTTAGCAGGGATACAGTAAGACCAGGGATTTGGACAGTGAGGAGCTATTGGTGCAGTTGCCTGCTCTGCAACAGCTGCTCTATCGACTTATTGGCTGCCGGGTAATGTTGCTGGACTTGTGGATATTAATAGTCTAATTATTTACTTCATTTTTATATATGTGTTTCTATTTTGACCACTGTATTTATGCATATCAGTTTGGTTAGAATTGCTTTAATTCAATTTCCTATGGAAGCTTATTGCTCTCGCATTTTGTATTATCTTCAGCCAGAAGGAGCTGCTGTTAGCAATTATGTGATACAATATGCGTTGGCTTTGGTATGTCTTCGGCTCTGTTTATCTAAAGATCCTCTTTGTATATAGTTCATTCAGAATTTACAAACTGTTTGTTTAGAATTTTTTGGGATGTTTTAATAAATATATTTTGGCATTAGCCATTTGTCCATGTAGCACAAGTTTGTGGGTGGGGATTGTTAGTTTATCCTCTGAATTCTTAATTTCTTAAACCTTGATGTTTTTTTCTCATTTGGTGATTACAACAATGGAAATGTAAATTATTAACCTTAGATTTGAAAGGAAATAGGGTCAAACCTTTACTCAACTACTTTTAGTTACTGATGTCTTTTCCATGAAGGGTAGAGATGGGGTATCATCCATGGTGGATCAAAGTTTCAATGGTGAGAAAAAGTTTTGCTTACCTACATCTAATATACCTGTCTCATGGAAGGGTATCCTTTGCGTGGACAATTTTTTTTGATGGTTAGATGTTTAAATGATTCTGATGGTGACTTGGTAGTATGGAATACCAAATCCCCCATTAAGTGGTATGGGATGCTCAATGGGGTATATAAGTAGGTTGGTTCTCCCATTTCAATAGTTAGCTTTTGGGGTAGAGTTCCTCATCCTACTTAGGTACCCATTAGATTCCTTATTGGAAATTGGAAATTTAGAAGGATATGATCCCTTCCAAATTTACTAGGAATTGTGGTGTCAAACATCTTTTCTTATTTCTTTTTTCTGGTAACATTTGTATTTGTTGTTGGTGATCTATAATTCATAAATTTGTTAGATGGCATTTGAATATATAATTCTTAATGATGTTGTATTATTTCGCATTGACCTTGTTGTTAAATACAGGTATTGAAAGAGAGCTTTAAGATTTATTGTGCTATTAATGATGGAATCATCAATCTTATTGATAAGGTAAACTGGCATGTTCACGTGATGAGTATCAAGTTTTTTATAAAACATTTGTGATCTATAGTTCTCAGTTTTTTTTTTTTAATTTCTTTGTAGTTTTTTGAGATGCCCAGGCATGAGGCCATTACTGCCTTTGATGTCTATAAGCGTGCTGGTCAGCAGGTGATAATTTGCACGTAATTTCCATCAAACATTTTTGCAACTGTGTTTTCTGAAGTGGCCAGTAAGGCTTTTGCAGTTTAACTTAAAGATCCTTATGTAGAAAGCACTAAGTTGTTGTAGGCTGCAAATCTCTCGGATTTCTATGACATCTGCAAAGGATTAGAACTTGCTAGAAATTTTCAGTTTCCTGTCTTAAGAGAGGTATTTCTTTGTATTTGCAGTGGTTTCATGTTTTGATTTAACCTGCTCTCTCTGTTTAACCTTAATATGATTCCCATTGTGTTTGCAACGTTGACCCTTTGCAGCCTCCACAATCCTTTCTTGCAACCATGGAAGAGTATATTAGGGAGGCACCACGAGTGGTTACAGTTTCAAGTGAACCATTGGTTAGTACATATTTTATTAAGTTTAAGGAGAGTTTAATTATCATAAACTCATAGTCTGTTGCTAAAATATTAGGATCTCACACCAATTATATATATAATGCTTGTATGTGTGTGCCCTTTTCTGTTTATTTTTTTATGGTTTCAATTGGCTTTGTCCTGATATTGGTGCATAGTTTTACTGAAAATATTGCTTGAAAGTTATAAATCTTTTTTTTTTCTTTCTTTTTTCTTTCTCTTTTTTCCGTAAAACTGATATCTTTTTCTTTATCAACAGCTTCAGTTGACATACAGACCAGAAGACGCCTCAGCTGCAGAAGACAGTGAATTGCCTGTTGAAGAAGAGGAGCCATCAGTGCCAGTTGATAATACTGTTGTCCCGGTTTCTGAGCCTCCTCATCCTCCTCCTCCCCCTTCTCAAAACCATTTTGAAACTGGAGATTTGCTGGTAATCCTTTTGTACAGAGTTTGGTTATTTTTGGTTATGAATTTTATAGTTTGCCTCGTTCCTGTCCTGGTTGCAGGGGTTGAATGATGCAACACCTGATGCTTCGTCAATAGAGGAAAGAAATGCGCTAGCCCTAGCTATAGTGCCCACTGAAACTGGTAATATTTTGGTTTTTTTTTTTTTTTTTGGTGTTTCTTCTCAAAATTCTGCTTCATGGTCTAGTCTATTGCTTGTTCAGTGGGTAATGGATGTGTTTTGTGCGTATAGGAACTGCGTCAACTTTTGACTCGAGTTCTGCTCAAACAAAAGATTTTGATCCAACTGGTTGGGAGCTTGCCCTCGTCACCACTCCAAGTAACAATATATCTTCAGTCAATGAGAGGCAGTTGGTTAGTATTTCATGTGCCCTTTGTAGGATATTATTATATCAACATATGTCTATACTTATAGATGGGTTACTTGGTTTCCCTATAAGCCCAAATAATTCAGGTTCTGCTATTAAATTGAATTAATTAAAAGGAAAAAAGTTCGTCTGTCTTTACCATTTCATGAAATCGATGTATGTTATGATTCTCAGTATCACAAGTATACAATTTTATGCCATATTATTCTTATTATTCTGTTTTGTGGAATAATCAGCATGCATAATCAACTCATTTTAATAATGTCTCATTATTTAATAGTTGTATCAATGAAAACTACAATTTATTAGAAATTATTAAATTTGTATGAGAATGTAGTCTTGGGGTGGTGTCAATATCATATTCATGATGCATCTTGTACACTTGTAAAATAATAATTAAAGAAGTAATTTTAGATGAAATGATTGAATATCATATACTAATGTATTTGAGACGTGTCATGGAGACTGGAGAGTAACTTCTATACATAAAACGAGAAATTGAAACGCATAATTATCAGTGATATATTTGGAAACGGCCAAACTTTCATACATAGGTAGCTAGTTTCTTCAAATGATTTTAAGTTTAGGGAAACTGGTATGTGGATGAAGAAATTTGCAGCTTCGGTAAATTGAAATGATTGATCTCTGTTGAAAGAATCAGTTGTGTAAATGTGTCAAAGTCAGAATGTACCATGCATTCTGACATTGTTATTATTTTGATTGTCAGTGTTCTTCTTAAGAGAGAGCAGACTAGAGGTCTGTGTTCTTTCTTGCCATATGAGCATAATTTTTGACAGGCATACATTTTCCTTGCATGAATAAGGAGTGTACGTTTTTCAATATTCATCAGTGTGGTCTAAACTTGTTTAAATCCAACTCATTTTACTTGGGTCCTTTTGTCAGTGTCAGCATGTCACCTTTCGTCTTTTGTCTCTGGTAAAGGAGTGCATAAATGGTTCTGAATGATGTTCATATCAGCAGATTATACCATTTTACTGAGAAATATATATGAAAACGTGTTGGATTTTCGGTAATCATAATACATTCCCTAGGTTCAGAAGTTTTACCATTTTTTGGTGTCCTTGAATGCTAGGCTGGCGGATTGGACACGCTCACTCTTAACAGCTTATACGATGAAGTGGCTTATCGATCTGCAAATCAGCAGGCAATGTATGGAGCACCAGCTCCGAATCCATTTGAAGTGCAAGATCCATTTGCTCCGTCAAGCAACATCCCTCCACCGCCGGCAGTCCAAATGGCAGCCATGGCTCAACAGCAAGCGAATCCATTTGGTCCTTACTCACCTTATCTGCCTCAGCAGCAACATATGTTGATGAATCCAGCCAATCCCTTTGGTGATATGGGTTATAGGGCATTTCCTGTGAATCCTGTTTCACACCCACAAAGTAACAATCCATTTGGAAGCACAGGCTTGTTATAATAATATGACGCTGCTTTGCTTTTCCTATTCTTTTTTTCTGGAGGTGTAAAATATTTAATCAATGAAGTTGGTTTTGGGGAATTCAGCAGTATGAGTAAAATGTTACCTGGGTTTTACTTCTTTATTGCTGGATTGATGGTTTTTGGAATGGATGTGCATGGTTGCTGTGTAAAAATTTCAATCAACGTTGAGAATGTAATAATTGTTTGGTAGTATACAGAATAGTGAGTTTTGCTTGTGTCCATATATCCTGACTTGTTGCTTGTAATTTGTAAGATGTTTTTTTATTAATAATAAAATTGCATATACCAAGGGATGGAGTTCATTAAATATAGTTTATAATTTTAATTTTTTATAAATTTTTAAAAATACCCTTCGTTCATAATAAGAGAAAGATTAAAAGAAATATATTTAAGTAAAATGATAAAGGTAATATTGAGATAATTATTATTAATAAAGATGTATTTTTTCAAAATATTTTTATATTTAGAAATATCAAATTATCTCCCAAAAAAAATCTTATAAAATGGGATTGATGGAGTGTAAAAAAAAAAAAAGAAATGAATCGCTTAGAAACGTTTTGGAATAATAATTAATTAAAACAAATTGAAAGGATTCATAAGTATGAATGCAAACAATAATTTATGAAATGATTATTTTATTTGTGTCAAAAAAATAGTTTTTTTAAATATTTGATAGAAAAAATTATTGGGGATAATGAAACTTTTAACCCTTTTAATTTATCTTAATTATCGATTTCATCTTTCAAATTTAATTTTTATCGATTTAATCTCTTGTATTTGCCTTAATTATTAATTTACTTCTTATTATTTAAAGAGGAGATAATATGATTAAAATAAGAGAATATTGATTATGACAATATAAATTAATGAGAAAAAGTATAATTATTTAAGTAGAAAAAATATATTCAAATTTTTTTAAAAATAATATAACAAAATGCAATATAAGGAATTAAATTGATAAAACTTAAGCTAATTTGAGGCTAATTTATTCTCATTTAGCTACATATACAATCAAAGTCATAAATATACACTATACATTGGATTAATTTGATAGTTAATTTGTATTTTAAAGCTTAAAATACTAATATAATAATTTAAAAAAATTTAAAAGATTATATCAATCAAAATTAAACTTAAAGGATTAAATTAATATCTGAATCAAACTTAGGGAACTAAAAATTATATTATTTATTTTGAATAAAATTTGATCTTGATTTGAATGATTATTCTTTTTCAGAAAAATACGTTATTATTTTTAGTTAAAAGGATGCAGAATGTTCCTCTTTTTTTTTAATGCATTGTGAAGGATTTAACAATGAATTGCACTATGTTTATCATGTGATTAGTCTGATTTATTATTTATTTTATATTAAATTTTATCATGAATTTTAAATTTTATATTAGAGTTTATGTACATTAGAGAAAAATTAGCAAGTATTTCAAATAAAATTCCGTCATTCACATCAATTGATTCGAGTGATCCAATTTTTTAAATAAATAAATTATTATTTTTAATGAAAATAATGTAAAATATTTTAATGTGTTAAGCAATAAATATCTATAAGTCAAAATTCTATTTTATTTAATTTATGGTCTGTTACTTAACACATGTAAATTAGATTGCGTATAATTAAGCCACACTTATTGATCTAGTCAAGATTTGTTTGGATATGACAATTTATCCTTTTTTTTAATATTACAATTTATCCTTTTCTGATCTAGGAAACTATCATCTATGTTTTAGATATGAGAAAAAACTTAATTTGTAAGTCCTTATAATTTATTAAAATTTAAATTAAATCTATATAATTCATTTTTTAATCAAACCTTTGTAATTTGATCTATTAAATTTTCTAGTCACTTAAGATTAAAATTATTAATAAATATTTGAATTTTTCAAAATTAAAAAAATATTTTAAAAATTATATAAAATTTGGTTTAATAAATTTAGAAAAAAATTATTTAATACAATATTTATATTTTTATCAGTTTTTTATGAAAATTTCATATGTATAAAAATATAGTTATTTACAAAATATAGTTTAATTATTTAAGTTTTGAGTTATAGAAATTTTAAAATTAATTCTAAAATTATATAATCTTTTAATAAGTATATAAAAGTCTTTAATTTAATTTTTTTAAAAGATAAAATTATAATATTTTAACAATCACGGACTAACATATTTAATCCATTAATCTATACAAGGAATTGATTAAAACAAAATAAATTATAGTTAATTAAAAATTGAGTAAAATTATAAGGACATATAAATTAATTTTTCTTATATATAAATATCCAAAGGTAGCGCGCGTTTTCTACATTCATAGAGACAAGAACTTGAGATTTTGTGTTTAAGGAGCTACTCATATATTTATCTCTCCTACCTTATCCATTTACTTTTGCTGATTGATTACAACAATATTATCTTAGACACAAGATCCATATGAAGAGCAGCAGCACGATGATGAATTCTTGCTGATCGATTACTACAATATTATCTTAGACACAAGATCCATATGAAGAGCAGCACGATGATGAATTCTGAAAAATCTGCTTGCGATCAATATTTCACAGTACGTACATGCATATGCTTTTTTAATTCTTGTTGTATAGTTACGTTGCAATATTAAAGATGCGACAATGATGATGTCAGGAGCCAGTTGATGGAAAGGATGATGATGTCCCAACATCGTACACTTCTGATTCTAAATCTCTGAAAGTTCATCAGAGTGGCTGTACGGGCAGAGTCGAGGCTACAACAAACCCTCCACTACTACACTCAAATCAGCATCTCCACGCCATGCTGCCCAAGGTAGTCGATTTAAATTTTATGTTTAAGATCTCACGTTTAAAAGGTAGATGTGAATTGAAAGCATGAAAATAAGTCTTTAATATCAATAATGAATGGCACTTTTTAGTTGTAGGTCTCCTTTTCTTCTTCTTGTTTTTTTTTTTTTCAACTTCTATTAGAGCTTGGTTAATGAATAATCAAGTTTATACTTTGTTTGGGCTAAAGTTTTGTTTTGCATACAGCAAGCAAAACTTTGGCCTTCCCTCCCTCTTTATAGTTTATTTCAGGAATCATTTTTTTGTTTTCTATTTAGTGATTCATTCATCTGAAAATCATCCCTGAATTTTTCACCTAATGATTTGTCCCTCCAAGAAAATCACTCCCAAGTTTTTTAATTCATTTCTTCAACAATCACTATAAGATTTTGTTTAGTGATGATTTATAATTCATGCATATAAAAGAATCACCCGAGTTTATATCTTTTGTCTTTGAAAAGGAGCCTCTCTTTACCATACATTGTTTAAATGAAGCAATTAATGCCCTTACAAACGCAAGGGCATCTTAAGTTTGAGGGGAGTTATATAATGAGATTTAAAATATTCATTAATTATTATTAAATGATCTATATATTGTAAGCTTTTCATATCTCTCTTGACTTCTTTCAAAAATAAAAAGATTAAGAGTAACTAGCATTTCAAATAACTAAATTATAGATGAAATTTAATTAAAATTACAAAAAAAAAATAATAAAACATGAATTTAAATTTTGATTAGATCAATTTTTATGCATTCAAATGCTGGATTTGGTTTAAATCCAAATCTTCCTATATCCAAACGCAACATTGCATTATTTTGATGGAAACGAAATACTAATATATTGCAATTTATTTCAATTCCAGAACCCAGTTGAAGATTCCACTGAAGAAGTTGAGTCTACCGCAAACCCTCCACCAGATTCAATTCAATATCTCCTCGCCACATTGTTCAAGGTATAATTGGTTCTGTTTAAAAACTTGTTAAAAATTGTTAAGATAAAAATTGCGTACTTTTACATTATTTTGATCGAAACAAATGCTAATCTATTACAATTTATGTTAATTTCAGGACCTAAGTGAAGATTGCACTAGAAATGTTGAGTCTACAACATACTCTCCACCAGATTCAAATCAACATCTTCACGACATGCTGTTCAAGGTATTTGGTTGTTTGAAAACCTATTCAAAGACTGTTTTTGCAACTTTCAAGATAAAACTTATTTTACATTATTTTGATCGAAACACAATGCTAATTACAATTTACTTTAATTTCAGGACCCAGTTGAAGAGTACACTATCAAAAATTTATTGCCAATGCATGATCGTGTCCCACCAATACCATCATTGCCCCCTCTTGGTTTTCAATATTCTTCTGAATCGAAAGTTCCTCCGAGTGACTTTTATTCTCAGATTTTTGGAATTGGTGCAAAACGATTTCAAACTACGCCAACTCTTCCTCACTGTTTTAGCTATTCTCACCATTTCATCCAATCACCATCTCCCCCAAATAAGAGGTTTGTTTCTTCCATTCATTGATCTCTTAACAATAATATAATGCATGCTTTATTTCTAATCACAGTATACTTCGCTAAATTAAATTTTATTTTTTTGAGGACAAGATAATTTTACTCCTTTTTCTATTGTTTCTTTTCCTTGAACGATCAAATCACTATTATAAAAAAAAATTGGAAGTGTTTTTATTAGAGCATTTATGTGTGTAAAAATGTTCTTTAAAATATAGGCACATCATATGGGGTGCTTTTAATTTTAAGCTCTCCAGAAAGATCAACTCATCGGAACGCTTCTAAGGAGAAGTGCTTTGATAAATGTTTATTTATTTTTTAATAGAAGACTTACTAGAAAGATTTCTTAATATAGAAGGGCTTCCCTAAACCCCATCTAAAGGGTTCTTGAATATACCGGAGTGTTTATATATGAAACGCTTGCAAAGCTTTTTTCATAGGTTAAAATAAAACATTTGCGTAGGCCTTAGCTTTTTTCATAGTAATGCATATTTAGTTTTTTTTTTTAAATTAATTTTATGTCTCTTTATAGACGGAAGACATCAAGCATTAAACAGTGCAGCTGCAAGAAGAGCCAATGTCTAAAGCGGTAAGTCTACTTTATAAGGATGTACTATTTGGATTTGAATTCATAAGTGTAGGCATTAAGTATATGTATCATCTGAATTATTAAAATTCATATAATTAGATTAAATAAATTTACTTATTTATTAATCTTAAGTGGAGTATGAATTTATAATTATTGATATAAATTTTAATGGTTTAGATGATAAAAACACTCAATATCTATACTAAGTATGATCAACAAATTCAAATCATGTACTGTCTATAATTTTATGGTATAATCATGTGTTGTATTGTTAATTTTTATTT